TACATTCAGTTGGGATCTTGTGCCTTTACATGACAGGTCTTGGTTCTCATTTTTTTCCCCTTGTCCCTGCCCTCCCTTTACCCCCAAATCCTCCCTATTTACAAAAACTTTACTTCAATATTTTCATTTTCTCATATTTTTTCTTTTCCCTTATTTCCTTTCCCCTACCCTTCCCATGTCCCCCACACCTTTAGCCCTTTTCTTCCCATTTCACATTGTCAGTTATACCATTTGGATGTTATTTACACCTTTAGTTCTTCATGCCAGAGAAACTATTTGGTATTTGCACATGTTTGACTTATTTATTTCACTTGAGCCTTTTTATTTATACTGTATTCTTTTACAAGACTTTTGAAAGTGAGGTCTTTGAACTCAACACAGTATATACTTGCAACAAATCTCAATTCAAATGCTAAATTTTCACCAAAATACTTCTCTATATTTTAGATGTCCTGAATTTTGCAGTTGATAAAGCAGGTTACCCAGGTTATCCCATACTTGAATGTTTTCCAATAAACAAATCAAATGTGAAATTTTAAATATAAAATTTAGGTGTTTGCGATTAAATAAAATTGAAGACTCAGTTCCCTGGGTCACTCTAGCCTCATTTCATGTGCTCAGTGGCTTCAAAACCAGTAAGGGCTGAGAAATGGCCCTCAGCCTGGGTGTGAGGGTGAAACTGAGGATTGGGTGGATGCTTGGGGGGTTCAGAGGCCCAGGGGAGCCACTGCTAGCTTGTGTGGTGTGGCTCTAGCTCGGAGGACAAATGTGGCTTGTGCCTGAGTGTTGGGCTGAAGTGGAGGCAGGTGGGATGCAGGCGCTCATGGGCTAGAAATGGTAGGGACTCAGCATGTGCCAGGCCCAGGGTTTGATCCTCAGCACCACAAAGGAAAGGGAATCGGGCAGTGGGAATCAAGGGGCAGGCACCAGTCTAGCAGGGCCTGGTGTCCAGAGGCTGTGTGAGACTGAGCTAAACTATAAGTAGAAGAGTCACGTGATAGGGCTAGAGGGCAGGAAAGGCTGGGCCGAGATGCCTTTAAATTTGAGCTGGCTGAAGCCCGGTATAATTTCAGCTGCTTGGGCTGAGGCAGAAGGATTGCAAGTTCAAGCCCAGTCTGGACAGCTTGGTACCTTAGAAAGCCTCTGTCTCCACATAAAAAATAAGAAGGGCTGGGGATGTGGTAGCTCAGTATGAAGGCTCTGGATTCAATCCCCAGTACTGGAAAAAAAATGAGGTGGCTGAAGCCTAGGGCAGTGACACACACACATACTCACAGCTACTTGGGAAACTGAGGCAGGAGGATCACAAGTTTGTAGTCAGCCTGGGCTACACAGTGAAAGGCTGTCTCTAAAAAGAGGACTAGAGATGTAGCTCAGTGTTCCCTGGATTCAATCCCAGTGCTGGGGAATGAAGTCCACACAGCACCTGTGCAGTTGCGGTGCTGAATTTGCCTGATATTCTTTGCGCTAGGCTCAGTGCTCCGTGTCCCTTGCCCTTGTTCCCTGCAGAGGTCCCCAGTGTGCAGGACTCGCATGCGCACCCCAGGGGCCCCTGGATGCCTTTGGGTCCTCGGAAGACGCTCGCCTCAGGTGAGGAGCAGACCACCCAGGCTACCACTTTGGGTGGGTGGCACCGGGAGGTGAAAGTCAAGGGTGGTGGAGTGAGGAGGGCCTTGAGGGTGGGAGGAGGGTGGGAGGCGGGCATGGGACAGGTGGACTCACTGGCCTGGCTTTTGCTTCCCCTTTCTAGATTCCAGAGACCAGCGACCCTGGGTCCCGAACAGATCCAGGGGACTCCCTGACTCCCCGCCTTCACCTCCGGGCCAAACACCATCTCTGCAGCAGCCCCCAAGGTCTGGCTTGAGGGCCCACAACTGCAGACACAGCACCTACGGGTGCTGCCCTGATGGCCACACAGCATCTCTTGGGCCACAAGGGCAAGGCTGTCCCCGGACTGAGGCCTGGTGTCAGCAGAGCAGGTGGGTGCTGGGGTGCTCAGAGGAGGAAGGGGGGCCTGCAGATGGGAGCCCCCACATCTCTGCTGGGAAAGGGGATGGGCTGGTTTGGGAGTCTGGGCTTGAGGTGTTTCTGAGCGGTCCTGTAGGACCTCAGGGGCTTGGCTTCCTCCCAGCGAGCTTCCTCTCACACCAAGCAGGGATGTAGCCCCTGCCTTAAGACCGTGAGCCAGAGGGGTGGTTCTAGCCCTTAGACCCAAACCAGGCTCCCAGAACCCACCGGAGAGCTGGACTGAGCTGACTGGTTCCCACTGGTCTCCTACTAATCTCACCCATTGCAGCTGTGGAGAAGGGCTGAGCCATCCACCCCCACCAAATGCCCTCCCTGTGGCTCTTATTCCAAGGCCTGCCCTAGGCAGGTCCCCCTTGGGGACTGGGATGCTAAACAGTCATTCACCCACTGCATGCTGAGTGCTGATAGGCAAGTGATTTAACTTCTCTGATCTTGGCTTCCTCTTTCCAGAATTGCAAACAATGATAGCCATGGGTTGAGCTTATTGTAAGGATGGAATAAATCACAAGGTGACTGGCACATAGAGGTGCTCGGACACCTCTCCTACCCCATAGCTAGCCAGTGGAGCTCCTTTGAGCAGCCTTTTCAGACCTGTCTGCTGTTACTTTGTGAAAGCTCTCTGGGACCCTGACATTTGGGCAGGCTCAGATGAGTCCCCCTTCTTGGTTTTGGGGTCAAGCATCTGTCAATTTTCAGGGCCTCTGTTTACCACTCCCCCTACAGCTGCAGAGAGGCAGTGGATGCAGGCAGACCAGGGCACCAGGCAGGGGATCCCTGGGGGGTTCACCCTCTCCTGGGGCCTTGCTGTCAGCCCATGAAGGACCGTAGAGGAGCTTGGGGTCTGGGCTGGCAGTGAGGGAGGTTATGTGCTGTCTACCTAGGTATGGGTGCTGCCCTGACGGGGTGTCTGCAGCCAAGGGGCCCCAGCAGGCTGGCTGTGGGAGGTCTTATGGCAGTGACAACGCTGGAAGGAGGCCAGGGTCCAAGGAGGTGCCTTCTACTGTAAGTGGCTGAGATGATGGGCCCCCGAGTCTGCTGGGTGCTATTAGCCCAAGATCTTGCAGCTTTGGCCTTGGGGAAGGGGACCCTGTTGGTCTGGGCCGCCCTCTGGAGGGTGCACTGCTTGACATGGGCTGGGGCTGAGACTGGGGCTTTTACCCTGCATTCTCCTGGGGTCTGGGCTCCTCCAGCTGGTGTCACATACCTTGGACTCTGCACCTTCCTGCCGTCCTTGCCAGGAAGCTGAGGCTGCTGTCCCGGAGCCAGGTCTGTTCCCAACTTCCCTACCTTGGGCTTCTTCTCCAGGCCTCCAAAGTCCACAGGCCCCAGGCCCAGCAGAATGAACCCACTGAGTGTCGGGGCTCCCAGTTTGGCTGTTGCTATGACAACATGGCCTCTGCGGCTGGCCCCCTTGGAGAAGGGTGCACGGGGCAGCCCAGCTCTGGTGAGTGGGCCCCTCTCATCTTTCCTGGTGGGTGGATGCGTTTCTTCCGTAAATACCTGTGCCTGCTGGATGCCAGGCCCAAGAACAGTGCTGGATTGTTCTTGTACCAGGATTGTTTGCACTCGAGGCCTTCTGGCTTCTTCTGGGAGTTGAGGAAGGTTAGTCTTGGGAAGGCCCATCCTGTACCTCAGTCAGCAGAGAGGTGCCAGGGTGGGCGGTGCCAGGGGCAGGCAGCGTGTCCTGACTCAGCCTGGGGTGTGGGCAGGGCAGCAGGAGCTGAGTCCAGGAAGAAGAGCCTGGCTGGGGAGGTCACTGAGGCCGGAGCACGAGGGGAGCTGCCATAAGTTGTCAAAAGCCAGACGAGCTGGTGGTCAGGGCTCTGCAGGAGGTTGGGCATTGGCACAGGTAGAAGTGGTCACATCGGACAGTGGGGAGGTGGAGCAGGACAGGGTGGCTGGGAAAGCTCTGAGAATGGGCAGATGGGGTGGGTTGAGAAGCTGCTGCAGGGTCCTGGGGGTGAGTGTGTGTCCTATACTGGGCATCTGCATAGGCTTGGGGTGGAGGTGACTCGGGGCTGGGGTCCTTTCCTAAGCTAAGCCCAGCAAGGCCAAACTCTGCTGCTGGATGTGTGTTCACCAGGGTCCAGGGTGTGAGGGACACGAGGCTGCCTGCCCAGGGAACCTTGGGCCTGTGTCCCGGAGGGCTCTAGCTCAGGGCAGAGGCAAGGCTGGGTGGTAAACAGACCTCTAGAGCCAGGCTGGGCCCAGGCAGGGGGTAGCCATACTCTGTAAACTCAGAAGGTTTTGGCGTCTATACGTCCGAGGTGGAAGGGTGGTGGATACTGCTTAATCACTGGTTACCTTGGTGACAGTCCCACATATGTCCCCAGCCTACCCAGTGCGGTGCCTGCTGCCCAGTGCCCATGGCTCTTGTGCAGACTGGGCCCCCCGCTGGTACTTCATCCCCTCCGTGGGCCTGTGTAACCGCTTCTGGTACGGCGGCTGCCATGGCAATGCCAACAACTTCGCCTCAGAGCAGGAGTGCATGGACAGCTGCCGGGGTGCCCAGCATGGGCCCCACCTCCCAGAGCCTGCGGCCACTGGCCTGGGCACCCACACAGATGGCCGTGGCAGTGGTGCCAGAGGACGGCAGGAGACCAACAGGCACAGGCCGGGGGACACAGACCAGAGACTGTCCCCGTCTTCTGGAGGCCCCTGGCGAAGAGAGCAGGAGCCTTTGCCAGGGGAGACCCACCCAACCCGGACCTTTGGGGAATGGCCTGGAGGCCAGGAGATTGGACACAGGACCCCGGGACTGGGCAGAGACTCCAGATGGCCAGTGCCACCTTCTCCCAGCTCCTCTTACAGGTGAGGCCTCCCTTCCCCAGGTAGCAGAATAGGGCATCCGGCCAGGGCTCAGCTCAGCCGGCCATGCTACCATTCCTTCCTGGCTGTCCCTGCCTGGTGGGCCTTGCTAGTTTCACTGTACAGGTGGGAGGCTGAGACGAGAGATGCCAGTCTTGTCTGGTATCTGATATGATATCGCTATGGGTGTGGGCACCTGGGTTCTCCATCAGATCTTGGCCACATACCCTGGGGCCTGTCTAGCCTGGAAAGCTTACTGGCTTCGTAGTCTTTAGCAGGTAACCAGCTTTCCTGAGCTGCAGGTGACCTATAAGATGGTGATATTATTGCCTGCTCTGCATAGTGTGTAGATTTGGTGTGGGTTCTCTTCATTATTCTTCTCAGGATTGGGTCAGTTTATAAGGGATTTTGGAAAAATGAAATAAAATCCAAACTTAATTGGGTGTGCTGGTGCATGCCTATAATCTCAGCAGCTCAGGAAACTGAGATAGGAGGATTGATGTTCAAGACCAGCCAGGTCAACCTATGGAGACCCTGTCTCAAAATAAGAAGGTCTGGAGGTGTAGCGCAGTGGTAGAGCACTTGCCTAGCATGTGCAGGCCCTGTGCTTAGTCCTCAGCACTCTTACATTGGTGAGCATGTATATATAT